AGGAGTTTGAGGTTACTATGAGCTGTGACGCCACGGCACTCTACTGAGGACAACATAGTGAGACTCTGTCTCTTAAAAAAAACAACAAAAAACTCACAAACAAACAAAACAAAATAATCCTTATCATCAGCTAATGATGAGCACTTACTATGTGCCAGGCGTGGTTCTGTATACACTTTCCATGTACTTTTATCATCCCCATTTTTTACAGGTGAGAAAACAGGATCAAAATAGTTAAATAACTTGCTCAAGGCCAAGCCATCAATACATGGAAGACCTAAGATTCCCAGGCAGACTAAGAGGCTCCAGAGCCCATGATGCTCTCCCCCATCTTGGGTGTAAGCTGACAGGAAGGCAGCACCTGGCATAAGACCAGACACATACAAAGTCCCAGCATGGGACCTCCCCTCCAGTTCCTACAACCCAAGAACTCTTACAAACACCCTTAAGTGACATTCTGACAAGTTGTTACTGGGCGGGGTCCTTGCTCTGGGTCCCCTCCTGGTGGTGCCTGGGGCTGATGGAGGCAGGTCAGGGAGGGGCTGGGGGCTCTGGGTGGGAATGCACGTGCTGCTGCGAGCGAGGCAGGCAACTGCACAGATGAGTGAAGAGAGAGGGGGACACTGACAGAAAGATGAAGAAAGGTAGAGAAACAGGAGGCAGGAGGAGAGAGCAGAGGAATCTCCTGAGGCTTATTCAAGCCACTTCCAGCCCTGGCCACCCCCTGCCATCTCCCAAGGCATACCATGCAAAAAGAAAATCAGGGCTGGGGGTGGAGGGGGACAGGCTGCACTCCTGGGCCAATGGCTTACTACGTGGCTAGATTCCCTGGGCTCCTGGGCAGGTGGGGGCTAGGGGTTTTATCAATCCCAGGCCCAGCCATGATGTTACTGTGTCCTCCTAACCCCTTCCCCAAGCTGCTGAGAGATGGGCCTGGGTCTGTTGTGTTGGCTGCTATATACCTGGCCTAGAACAGGGCTAGGCACACAGCTGCTATTCACTATTTGCCAACCCTGACTGAGTGCTTACTTTGTCCCAGACGCCATTCTAAACACGATGCAAGCGCTGGTTCATAAGCCTCACAGCAACCTCATGAGGTGAGTATCATTACTACTACCATTTGTACAGGCAAGGAAACCAAAGCACAGAGAAATTAAGCAACTTGCTCAATGTCCTAGGTAGTAGGTGGCAGAGTCAGGATTCAAACTCTGGTTAATCCTGCTGTTAACCACTATGTCATAATGCTGCCTTGTCCAATAAATGTTGATTGAATGAACAAATGAATTTACCATGCCTTCCCTCTCCTCTAGGCCCAGCCTCCCAGGGACTGGACTGTGACCCACCCCAGCCAGCCAGCCACCCACCTACCTTGCCAAGAAAGTGCTTCCGGTAGATTCGGGCTGTAGGGTTGCACTCGAGCTTCACCTTGGTGGTGGGTGACTGGAGCGGCTCTGTCTCAGGAATGCTGGTGATTTCATGGTTAGTACCTTCAATCCAGTAGCCCCCAAACTGGGGCAGCAGGATGAGAGGAAAGGGCCCTTCTCGCCCCAGGACCTGAAGAGGGACTCAGCTGAGAGCCACTCCATGCTGCACCGCACTGGGGGCCCCAAGACACCCTCCCAACTCAGACCCGGGGGTACTTTCGTCATGGCTAAAGGGTACTAGTGGACAGCTTGGAGCCTAGGTGGGCCCCAGGGCTCAAATCCACCCTCTCGGGGATACTTGCTCCAGCCCTTTCCCTCAGCCAGACCAGACAGGTGCCAAGCCCCATGTCCCAGTCTCCAAAACAGGGGCCTGGGAGCAGGTAGAGCTGGGGGCATGACTTTGGCCCAGGAGGCTGAAACATTTGGTTGAGAAGGTTTAAGGATTCAAATAGGCTCTAAAGTCTTAGGTCTGTAAACTGGGTCTCCAGCCCCCACAGCAAGGCCTGAGTTCAGACTCCAGAGGGTATCCAGATGCTCTGTTGGGAGGGCAGGGACGGGTTTGCAGGGCCAGCCAGGTACCTCGTGGACACTCGGGTAGGGAATGTAGTCCTCCTCTGTCTGCAAAACACAAGCAGAGCCAGGTGGGGAGGGGTCCTTGGCCCTTATATTTTCCAGGCTCCTTGAGACCTGCTATATTTTCAGCCAGTCACCCAGCTGGGAGCACAGATGGGGGGCAGCCTCTTAGGGCTTGGCCTAGGATGACCCAATAGGCAGGGGGCTGAGGTAGGCTCAGCTCACTGAGTGCTGGGTTTCCCTCTGCCTGAGGAAAGGAAGTTCAGTGCCTCCCCAGAAGAAGCCCCTGCCAGCCTATAACACAGATTCTGCCCCTCCCCCCAGGACTTCTGGTACAGAGGTCTGAGGGGTGGGGGGGGTGTCTGAGAATTACATTTCTCAGGAGGTCCCAGGTGGCACTGACACTGCTGGTCTGCGGACCTCTGCCCTGAGCAAAGCATCAGGCTTGCTGCCCATGAAGCCTCTCTAGAAGGGCTCATTTTCCAGGGCTTTGGGGGCGGGTCCCAAAGGACCAAGAATGATGCCAAATAAATTCAGAGTCAAAAAGAGACCCTCATCACCTGCTGGGGTCCCCCCAGCCTCCTGCTAGTTACCAGACCCCTCTCTCTAGCTACTTCACACCATCCAGAAGGGAGCCTCTCAGAGCAAGAAGGGAGCCTCTCAGAGCAAGAGCTCATAAGCCTCCTAGGGCCTGGGTTTGAGTTTGCCTGCAACTGCTGATCAAAACTGATTTCAGGGAAAACATTTTACGCAGCTGTCTTTGGAGAGATAAGGACTTTGGGGTGGGAAGCCTGGAGAGGCAGGGTGAGTTTGCAGCGGTGCAGCAGGAGGGGAGGTGCTAGAAGGGAGGCCCCACCCCTCTGGTAGGGGAGGAGTCATCCACATCTTAGAACTGCGGTACCCACAGAACCGTTCCTGGCACATAGTAAGACTACTTCAGAAAAGTGGCTGGACTCCCTGGGCCCCTAGGCAGGCTGCTTTGACAGCTGCCAGTGCTTCCCAGACCTTCCCCTGCCTCAGGGAGGGAGTCTGCTGGGAAGCAGACTGCTAAGCCCACCTACTTTGAGAGGTGGTGGGAAGGAGCATCGCTGTTCATCCATCCTGCTTCCCTGCAAGAGAATTAACACTGGTCACACCCCTCCCATGCCTGCCCCCCTATTACACCCCTCCCATGCCTGCCGCTGACTGTTGCCTCCCCCCAGACTTTACCTCCCCCAGTCCCAGTGGAAGGGGAAAGCCCTCAGCGCCCCAGGGATGTGGGAGTACCCCCAGGGCAGGGTGCAGCCTGACTCATCCTGGTGGTGACTGGGGCTGATAGAGGCAGCTCAGGGAGGGGCTGGGGGCTCTGGGTGGGAATGCACGTGCTGCTGGGAATGGGGGCAGGGGAGCAGGCAACTGCACAGATATGTGAAGGGGGGGCAGAGACAGAAAGATGAAGAAAGGCAGAGAAACAGGAGGCAGGAGGAGAGAACAGGGGATCTCCTGAGGCTTGTTCAAGCCACTTCCAGCCCTGGCCACCCCCCTGCCCATCTCCCAAGGCACACGAGGTGAAAAGCAAATCAGGGCTGGGGGGGAGCAGGCTGCACTTTCAAGCCACTGGCTCACTAATGACTCCTCCACTTACAGCGCAGCCCCCTCCTCTCATTCTACCTGGGAGCTCTGGAGAGCCTGCCCTGCCTCCTGTGGGGTGGGCTGAGGAGCTGAGCCCTGCCCTATTGGGGACCTACATAGAGATGGGAGCCAAGATGGGCCTGCAGGTCAGAGATGGGAGCTGGTCCAGTCTCCATCCTCTACCTGACCCCCAGATAGAGGACTCTAGACAGTGAGCTGCCACCATCTTCTCCTGGCATGGTCTGTCGAGGGCTCCTGGCCTGTTCTCACAGGGGCGCAGGGATAGACATAAAACCAGGGTCCCCAATCTGCAGCTGGCTGTGTGGTTCCCCAGAAAGGCTATAGAGCCATCCTACCTGCATCTTTTCAATCATCTCAAACAGATCTGTGTTCTGCAACAGAGATGGAGGAGAGCAAGGTCAGTCCTGGGGGGTGGCCCAGCTGGTCCTGCCAAATCCCAGAGGACCCTCCACCCAATTCAGGTGCCTCCAATTCTGACTGATGACTGAGGCATGGAGCAGCAAGAGGGAGGGAGCGGGGCATCATGGTGGGGGGCTCTGTGCAGAAGACTCGAAGAGCTGGGCCACTGCGAAGTGAGGGGAGCCCAGAGCCTAGCAGCCCACTCCGCCCAGTCCTCTCCCCCGAAGGGCTGCTGCCCTTGGAAAGAGACAGCTCTTCCCCACTTTACTGCAGATTGGCACTCAGGAGTTCATGACCCAGCTAGGAACCCTAAGAGGACCTATGGTTCTTCCCATCTCCCCTGGAAAAGGGTGAGGCTCAAGCCATGGACCATTGCTCAGCTCACCCTGCCCTAAAGCAGGAAGAAAGGACACTGCGATGCCCACTGGCCCAACACCTATGCGTGAGCCTACCTGCACCCTCTCACCACCTCAGCAGCCTCTCCTGAGGCTAGCCAGGGAACATGCAGAGTTAATCTGGCATCTGCCAGCTGTGCTTGGCAGCACTGGCCTCTCCAGCGCCAGCTCCCTATGAGCCTTCCTGGAAGCCAGCATCCCTGCTGGCTGGCTGGGCTGGGGGCTGGGCCTGGGAAGCCCCCAGAGCCTCCAGGATGGTGTCCCTCCCCCAGTTACTCCAAGGCTCTCTCTGCTTAGGCAGCTCCAGCTGACACATGTGCTATGGGACTGTGCACCAGGAAACTCTCTCTTATCCCCCCCCCCACTGCTCAAACACACAGAGGCCTGTACACCAATATTTAAACAGTTTCACTGCACCATGCATATGTTTTGTGTACCAAGGAAAACCCACACACGCACACAATGGGGCCTGTGCTACTGGGTCTATGCATAGTGATTTTTATACTCAGAGCTCTAAGCTAACCCACAAACACACATGTTGGCGTCCCAAGTGACACAGGAGCCCACCCACTCACACACAGATTCATGTACTAAGAGAGACGTACACATAAATGCAAGCCCTCACCTGTGCAGGTCTGTACACCAGTGGCTGCACACAAAGCTACACTAACATCACAAAACCACCCTCTTGTCTGAGACCGAGAGACACCACATGCATTGACAGACACAGGAAAGCTCACAGAGCTCCACTCCCAGCTCCAAGCCCTCCCTGGCCTGTCACTGTCACCCACCCTCTTCTGAGAAAAGGAAGAAGCATCCAGCCACTGTGGGGTTAGCTAACTCCCAAGGGTGAGGTGCACAGCCTGAACCTCACATACCCCTCACACCTGCTCGAGTAAAACCATCTTCTCTCTCTCTCACATACACACACAGCCCTGTTAAAGGTTACAAAACACAAACATGCCCATGTACCCTCTAAGGTCTGCCCACAGAGGCAAGATCCATTCTGTAAAATACACAACAGGAGTCCACCGGAGACCAGGATCCATGGTCACTTATGTCACACACAATACCTCCACAGGCAATTACGGCAGAAACCACAGACACATACTTGAAGTCCAAGTAGACAAACACATCTGTCAACCAACACACTGTATAACATCAACTTTAGCATCTGTGCCTGAGTCAGCCACTCAACTTCGGACAGGCACGAGACGAGTCACACTGATAAGGGGTGCATTAATGTTCCCCAAGGCATCTCATTCAAGGTGACAAAATGTGACCAGGAACAATCAAACGGCCTGTCTTACCTAGAGTTACAATCACATAAACACTGACACATGGCACTGTCACAGGAGTGTACTCACAGCAACAAGTAACACCCACACTACAGCCCTGAAGGAGCCATAGATATCCTGACACATGGTGAAGGCTGTGAGTGGTGTGGCCCAGATGGGGCTACCCCCAAGTTACACTTAACATTCAGACCCCGCCAAGGGGACAGTGGAAGGGGTAGAGTGGTCCCAAAAGATGGAAAGTACACAAACCACACACATAAACACACACACAGAGCACCACCGTAGCCCAGACACAGTGGCAGCTGCAGAAAGAGCCCTGAGGTCTGGGACCCCAGGGCAGAGGTGTGCCCTGTGGCCGCCGCGGCGGGTGTCAGCCCAGAAGCTAACACACCCACCATGACGGAGCCTCGCACACCCACCTTGGCTCGGTCAGAGCTTGCCAGGCTCCAGAAAAGTCGTGTAGACTCAGCCCCGGGAATCCCTCAGCTAGGACGCCCCTGCCGGGATCCTCACCTGCCAGCTGGCCCCAGTGGGCAACGAGCCCCTCCGCGGACGGCCGTGGGACGCCGGGGGCCGCGGCTGCGCCATCCTGAGCACGCTCGGCCTCGGCCCCGGCCCCCGCCCGGGCGGCGCTTCAGCTGGCCCGGCCGCCTGCGGCCCGCGCGCGCCCCGGCCCGGGCCCCGCAGCGCCGAGCTCCGCGTTCCCGGCTCTCGGCGGCGGGGCTGCCTGAGCTGGGCTCGCCCGGCAGCCGGGCCCGAGGGGGCGGGGCGCCAGGTACGGGCGGCGCGGGGGCGGAACGAGGGCGTGAGGCCCCGCCCCCAGGAGGCCCGGCCCGCGGTCCCTACCCCCCCCAAACTCTGACACTGCGCCTGCGCACTGTGGCCCGCGTGCTTGGGGCTTTGGGCAGGTCGGATTCCCGAGGGGCCCTTCCCCGGCTCCCCTAAGCGCTCCTCCCCCACTCCACCTTCTGCGTCTTCCCAGGCTCTGGATACCTTGCCTCAAGGCCTCAAGGACAGGGTTAGGTCCTGCTGTGAAACTAGAAGAGGAGGGGTTACCTTGGAGACAGGGGGGGATTTTTCTTGAGCGCCTACTTAATGCCAGGCCCTTCACATGTCTCATCATCTTGCCACAACTCACAAAGTACAAGTGTCAATCCCCTTATACAGATGAGAAAACTAGTTCCAAGAGGCGAAACAGCTTGCCCAAGAGCACTCAGCTAAGGAAAACGAAAGGCATAACCGGAATCCAGGGGAAAGCCTGGAGCTACTCTTTGGAGTCTCTCCCCTCCATCCTGCTCTCATTCCCTGATAGTGGTTGACCTGTTCCCTTCCCCACACCCAGCTCCCCCAGACTCTGGAGGAGCTGGCCACAGTGCCTGGGAGAGGCTGCCAAGAACTCATGGTATAGAGGAAAGGGCTCAAGTGTCCCACTTCAGGACATGTGGGTTCTAGCTCTGGCTTTGCTACAACTTGCTGAGTGGGCTCTGCCACCTCCCTGGGCCTCAGTTTCCCAATCTGTAAAATATAAGGCCTCTGCAGGCCCTTCCAGATGACCCTGCAGTGTGTCCCTTGCTTGATATAGGCACTATACAGTGGGACAGGCCTTGCTAGACAGATGTTGGAAAATGGCAAATGCTTCCCAATCAGTAGCCAAGTCAATGCTAGCTGCTCTGGATGCTGGATGGGGAGAACTGCCCACGGCTCAGTGACAAACCTCTCTTCAGCTTCCCAAAAGAGCTGCTGGCAGCTGCCCCCCAGTCTCCATCCTCCGGGCCAAGGGCTCTTAGAAGGAAAGCTCTGTGCCTTCCTTTCCCCAGACATGGCTCTGGGTCAGCTTTGGGCCCAGAAAGCTGGCAGGAACTCCAGAGATGTGTGTTCCAGACACAGTGTAGCTTTGGTTTTAATAATTAACAGCAGCAAATATTGATTTATGCAGCCACTTCCAGGCCTGAGCACTTCCAGGTACCATCGAAATGCAGCCAAAGAAACATCCATTCCCACACTGCCCCCAGGGGAAGTGAGACCTGCTCATATCACCAGAGATGTCTGTGTGGCAGGTGGTATGGAAGGTGTGCACATATGTACATACAGCTGTATGTGTGTGTGTATAAAGCTCCAAGACCAGATGTGGCTGTGTGTATGTGGGCATTTGTGTTTGTATGGCAATGCCTGGGTAAATGTATTTCTGTGATTGCACATATATATCTCATGCATGTGTACACGTGCAAGTCTGAATACATTTACAGACATGTAAATGCATCTGTGTGTCTGATATCTGTGACTATGTATGTACAGAGTTGTGAGTAGGCTGTGTATGTACATGTATGTAGATTTCTGAACTCCTAAGTAGAAAAACCCCTATGGGGGGAGGATCCTGGGTAGCTCAATACCTGCACAAATGTGGCCTCCCAAAGAGAAGGGAAATGTCCCTTGTGTGTGTTCTGTCCAGCCTGGGGCATGTCATGTGCTGATAAAAATTCAGCTTCCTAGTTTCTACCTTCCAAAGTACTTTCATAGTCATTGCCTAAGTGCAAGCGAGATGGGTAGAGAAGGAACTGCCACCTGTATTTTATAGGTGAGGAGACTGAGGCCTGGGGTAGAGAGGCAAAGATTTTCCCATTGGCCACTTGTCCTTCAGACTGGTTCCATCAGTGTTATAAGGTGCACAGAGTTGGGGTACTGGAGAGGGAATAGAGAATGTATCACAGCCCATCCCTGGCTTGCTGGAGACCCCAGATAAATCACTCAATCTCTCTGGACCCTGGTTTTATTCCTCTGTCAGAGGAGGATGATTCTGGGGTGGGGGTGGGCTACTGGAAAGAGGTGGTTTGGAGCCTGCTGTCTGAGATGTGTTGGCACAAATGGAGGCTTCTAGCCAGACTGGATGGAGGCCAACATCCCTGAGGGGAGGCAGCTCCTCACTGATCTGAGGAGGCTGTCTAAGCAGGCAAGACCCCAGGTGATGGGCTGCTCCAACTCTCATTCCCTCGGGGAGAACTGAAGCCCAGGAGCTATGGTCCAAGGGCACATGCCCCTTGGTGAGAACCCAGGCATCCTCCCAGGATACTTAGGGGGAGAGGGACTGAGCATTTCATTCATGAACCCAGCTGTCAAGTGAGGGCTGTCATTGAGTCTTTCCCTTTCTGCCAAGTCCCAGATCCACAGGGCCCAGTCTTGGGCTGTTGCCCAGGCAGAGAAAGGAGGAGAGGGTCTCTGGAATGCTCTTCTACCACCCCCAGCATCCCTACTTGGGACTCCCTTGTAGATGGTGGTCCCACACATGGGCACCATTCCTTGACTATCTGCTCTCCCAGCCTAGGCAAGGTACTTGGCCCTTGTCCCAGGCTAGAGCTCTGGGGGAAGAGCCTGATAGATCCTGCCTCTGCTACTTTCTGACTGTGTGACCTTGAGAAGACCACTTCACCTCTCTGAGCATCTGGATCCAACTACAGAATGCCTACTGGGCGAGGTTTGCTGAAGCACCAAGTGGCATGATGTCTGTGGAGGTGTTTTAGAAACTACAATGTGTACTGCAAAAGGGAGGGCTTATTACCCCTGCATCAGACAGCCTGCATCTGGTCCTGGCCCCACGGCACCCAACCTGCATGACTCTGGACAAGTAATTTAGCTCCTCTGAGTCTTGATTTTCTCATCTGAAAAATGGGACTATGGGCAGCTATTGCATGATACTTACAGTTCAAGGATGAAATGGGATAATGCATGTAAAGCGTAAGTGCTCACCTGGCACATAATAAATCTCAGTTACATCTGGCATTGGATGTTCTGCATAAGTTGTTCAGTTGTTTATCTCTTAACTGACCTATGGCTCCTTGAAGGCAGGGTCTATGTCAGATTGATTTCTGGCCCCTTAGCACCCAGGCAAGGTTTGGCACAAAGCAGGTACTGGGCAAACACTTGATTTTGATGAAAACAGCAACAGATACAAACTGGTGTACAGGGCTCTGACTCTGTGCCGATACTGGCTGCTCTGGGCACTTTTTATCCTCACGATGGCCTTGCGAAGTGCCCAATTAACAGATGAGGAGACTGATGGTGATGCTAATAATGACTGTGATAAAGACTAGCTGTTTGGCTGGTTTACTTCCAGCTGTTAGGTTTAGATTAGCCCTGCCCCTTCTGCCCCGCAAACAGTCTGCAGACCCTGGTTCAACGTCCTCTGAGGTTGGACCAGGCCCACCAAGGGGTCAGGAGGCCACTAGGCCCCAGCAGCATCTGCTGGAAGTTTTGCCTCTGCCCAGCGGTCACCCTTAGGCATCCCAGCCCTGGGATGGAGGGCAAACCAGGGCTGGTGGATGTGCCGGAGCGGGGGGCACTTACCTTAGGGTAGAGGAAAGCAGTACAGGAGGGGACTGAGTCCACTCGTGACAAGTCTAGTGCCTGAGGGAAGCGCTGGTTCTGCCCATCACTCCTCCTGGAAGAGAACAAGAATCTGAGGTCAGGGACAGCCCAAGTTGAGAGATTTGGGAACCCTGGAAGAGTCTCACTCTCAGAGTTGGGGGGGGGGCACATGAGAGAGGGCAGATTTCATGAAGGAGGAGGTCCTGGGTTTCCCAGGAGGGGAAGGAGGGCTTCCTGAGGAGGGCTGCCCAATAGGCTCTGCTTCCTAGGAGATCAGAGTTTGGACAGGGTCTCTCCCCAAGCTCCCCCTGAGGCCTCCAGCTAACAGGAGGTCCACAGCCCATTCTAAAAATGGGTAGACTGAGGCAGGAGCAGTGAGGGGTGCTATAGAGGTCTGAGCTTTGGGACTAAGCAGGATACCCTAGCACTTACAGACCCCTGCACCTTTCTCTAAGCCTTCAGGGAGACAGCAGCCTTAGGGCTGAGAGGCTGCACAACTACTGCTGTTATTGATGATTATAATTATAACTGACACAATTGGGCCTACTGTGTGCCAGGCCTGAGGGCATGGACTTCTCACAGGTGTTCCTACTTTGTGGATGAGGACCCGGATGTACACAGAGGTCACATGGCTGGTCAACAGCAGCTAGCATCCGCATGACACCTGTCTGACTCCAAGCCTGAATTCTGCCCACACCCACGCCCCTCCCTGAGGAAAGAAAGCAGGTCTGGTGAGGGTGAAGTCAGCTCCTGTCACCTGCCAAAGCTACCTCTGGGGTCAGGGAGAGGAAATGCCCAGTGGTTCCCGGGACCCAGGGAGTCGGGGCAGGGTGAGCAGGCCTGGCAGCCTAGGTCCACCCTGTCGTGTCTGCACCCTCACCCGGGTCCCATCAATGAGACTGGTCTCTGGAGGATGAGTCAGCTGATCCTCAGTGGCCTAAGGCAGGCTTCAGTCAGGCAGAGCCGGGGCTGCCACGCCCCAAGAGGGGAAGGGACCATAGGAACGTGGCCCAGGAAGGAGACTCTGAGGAAGTTCTGATCCTCCCATCTATCTCCGCTCAGCCCAGCTACTCCAGCAGGAAGCTGAGGAAGCATCCACAGCCCTGCTCAGGCACCAGAGGCATAAAAGAGGGGTCCTGGAGCCATAAAAGAGGGGTCTGTGCTGGGCAGTGCTTGATCCAAAGGATGGATAGGGTGGCAATGGCACTGGAAGCC